GATTTAACTCTTATTTTTCCGCTTTGGTTTGAGACACCGGGGCTCAGCAATGTGTAAGTATTTAACGTTACACACAGGAGTACAGGGATCTGGAGTGGAGGCATGGAGACTTTAAGGGATGGCTGAAATATATGCTGATATAATAAAACACATTTATCAATATTTGCTTTGAAAAGTCCCTAAATGAAGATATTTGAACTCAAATCTTCACACATTTTTCCAAATACATGTATTTTTTCATTAAACTTAAGCCTATCACTTGTGCCCATAACAGATCATTAAATTAATTTCCATTTTCCCAACATGTTATTTTTAAAATTAATCTAAATTAATGTGTTAAATTCTGCTTTGGGGGCAGAAACCACCGCTCTGTTCTTTCAGGAGAGGTTAAACCAGTTGCTTCACAAAGTCACACATCTGAAATGCATCTAAGCTAAGATATTTTTATGTTATGTTTATTTGAATACTATAGTCCTGTTAACAGCTAATAACAGCTATCAGAATTAAATAATAAGAGTAATAAAGTACAATAAACAAAGTTTGCATTGGCAATATCTGAATCTGATGGGTCGCAGAATAAGATGCAACTCCTGTTTGTCTCGTAATTATGAGATAGATGATTACATGATACATTCATCTTTTGATCTGTAAAATGTTAACAAAACAAACAACCCCACAGTGACTTTTAAAAATGTCTTAATTTGGTCATAAACCCAAATATATTTATTCTAGAAGACGATGGAAATCAGTAAATATTCACATTTTAGAAGCAAATATTATTCGATTATCAAAATACTTGCTATTTAATTTCCTGTCATAAATTAATCTGCTAATTATTGAAGTTCTAATTATTAGATAACGTCTCCAATTCTTGTCTTTGGTAACTGCAGAGTGCTCCTGTAGAAATCCTCTAAAGTATCCTCTAGTACTCGTCAAAGAGTGAGGTGAGTACGTTCTTTATACTTTATTTATAGTAACGAATAAACTCAATTGCAGGTATTGAAGGTACAAGTAAACAGCTTAACCTGAATAAGAACTTAACCTGAGCTGTGGACATTTGCCAGGTTACTTCTTCCACATAAAGTGAGGAAGAGCTCTCGATGTCTCCATCACACTGTAGGAGACTGTAAACACTTTGATAAGAGCTGCAGTGGTTGTCAAAAGAGGGTACTAACGTAGATGACGTGCTCGTTGTAGCGGATGAGCAGGTTGCGGAGGATGCCGGCTTCGTTGAGGTCGCCCAGGCGGATCATGTCCTCCACCCCGTGGATGGAGGTCGGGTGCATGGGTTTGATGTTGGTGGCATTCTGAGGGGAAATCCAGTGTTCCTGTGTGAGAGGAGTAAGAGGAGATTACAACATTGCTCTGTGCGCTTTGTCTATGAGGTGAGGTGTCAATAAGTTGCACCTCATTAGGGGGTGAGAGAGGAGCTCTTTCTTCCAGACAAAGCAGCCTATTGATCAGGGGTGTGCCTTGATCTCTGACCTCAAGTTACCTGAAGGAAAATGGGTTCAATGGGAACCCACAAGTCTCCCTTTTTGCAGATATGCCCACTATTCTAATCCCATGCAGTTTGCCTGGACAGTGACTAATAAGATGAGACACATACTTCATACCACCCCCTGTATAAGGCGGTGCCCCTCTTGTAACACCCCAGTCAAAGAAAAGACACTTCATAGCCTGGTCTCATTCCCAGGTTATCAGATATAGACGCGAGTGGTGCTCAGTTAACTGCAATCTGAAACTTCCCCGCTGGATGCCGCTAAATCCTACACACTGCTCCTGGTAAATAAAATCTTTTGGCTTTTAAACTAGTTTTTGAGTCTTTATATGTTGCTGATAACAATCAGTTGAGCTATAATGTGTGTGTTATTATAGTCATAGTATTTTAAGTAATGTCCATTGCACAATCTATTGCAATATATCCTTTTCACCACACATCGTTCTTGTATAAATATGACAAATAAAGATTAATTTAAAGTGATTTTAAAGTAGAGTACAGCGGGTAGGAAGTGTGTAAGCTGTGATGAAAGTTTACACCAAACAGTACAACAACTGTACCATTTACCCACAATGCTGCAGTCCCACATCATACAATGTTATTATTACTGACAGAGATGAAGGACAAAACTACAGAAGTAAGACAAAAGATGAAATAAACTCTAAAGAATTCTACTTTTAAGAATCAAAACCACTAATAAAAACAACAGGAGCAGAGAAACTTGATTTTACTGAGGCTCATAACTCTAAAATACAATTAACATGTGAACAAACAATCATATCCATTCAGACACATACAGTAAGTGTGTACTGAGCACCGGTGTACTTCCTGTTGCGTTGTGGACTTACCCTGCCTTCATCATCCAGAACCTGGATCTGACCAGAGTCGCACAGTTTGACCACGGCTCCCACGGGGACGTCAAACTCTCGGCCCGTTTTAAGGTCCAGCCACACATAGTCCCCCTGCATTATAAAACACAGCTCTGGTTTTAACTCTGAATTCATATTAAAAACACAAAATGGTGAACACATTAATGCTCGGGGATTATCTGTGATGTAATGTTAGTGATGATATTGTGAAATTTGAATACAAAAGCTCAATTGGAAGGTTAAAAAAAACTAAGATATAACAGTTTTTAATACATTAAAATATCAATAAATAGCATGTATGTTCGTTGTTGGTATATTGGTAACATTTTGTGACATCAAAATGAATAGAGATACAATCAATGAGACACAAACATAAAACAGTAACAGTTACAAAACACATTATATATTTATTATTTTGTTTATTTTATAATAAAAAATAATATACTGTAATGACAATACTGTAATAAAATAATATGAATTGATAATACAGTATAAGACTAACTTTTATGTCAATTTGTATTTAATTTTAGGGCAATAAAGAGACAGGGGAGGTAAGAAATAGGGCTAAAGTGACTAAAACCTGCATTTTCATAATAACAATGACAAAATATAATAAATAATATATATTAACAATCTGTCTTAAAGTCGAGATCAATGTAAAATATTTAACAATAAATCATTTTTATACATTTAATTCACTAACTACAGACTTTAAAGAGCTTAATGATGAATGAAAACCAATAGATTGTATTAGGAGACAGGCAGCAAACATAATGTGAAGGACAGATATTAAAGTATAATTACTGAATGTGAGAAATTAATATGTTGTTATACACACACACACACACACACACACACAGACACAGACATATTAACTGTTTACTGGCATCTTCTAGTTGTTTTCATCCATCTATTGTATTTAATGGACTGTTTCTTTTCTATTCCTTCTTGTTTTTTAAATTTTTAAGTTTGGCAGTAATTATTTCATCTCATTTAAAATATATTCAATTGAAAGAAAAGTGATTCATGATGAAACCGTTTCCATCTCAGCTTGACTCAACCCAACTGATGATATTGTAGCTTTTCCCGTCTCCAGTCGCTGGTTTTAAAACGAAAGAAACATCACCTGCTTTAGTGAATCTGAGTTTCAGCTCATTGTTTGACTGTCTGAACCACAACTTTACTGTTCTGGTTCACTCTCATATCCTCATAGAGCCTGTTTTCAGTGATGAAGCTCTAAAAAGCCACAGCTAGTCTCTGATGAACGTCCAAATATAAATCCAGTATTCACTGTTTTCCATACACAGAGCAACATTATCATTAATCTGGAGTCACCTGTTGAATTTCAGTCCAACATTCACTCTCTTTTAGCGTTTTAAGAAGAAACACTTTACAATAATCTTCCTAATGTGGACCCATTGATTAAACTCCATCATAGTGAGTTGGAGAGTTCTTGTGTTTGTCTGACATTAATGGAACAATGTTGTCTTCAGCTGTAATCAATGTTTGAATAAAAGCTCTTATCGTAGAAAAACTCTTCTCTTTCCACCAAAGAACATCTTTTATTTCTGTTGTATTATCTGACACTTTCACTCTGTTCTTACTCGCCTCCTGTGTTTGAACTCGCTGTTTTCTTTATCATGTCAGTTGCTCTCCTTTAATCGGTTTCTGTGCCTTGTGGTTATTTCATTATGTATGTTGGATAACTGGGAAATATTTAAATTGCATCACGCAGACACAGTTACCTACTTTTTCAGCTGCCAACTCTCTGAACGGGAGGATTTAGTCTGAAAAAAGGCTTAAAAACCTGACCACCTTCAGCTCAATATGGACATGATGTAACCCCCCCACCCCCTCCGGCCTCAGAGCTTTATGTTGTTTGGGTATGTAACACTGGGTGAGGTCTAATTTTAGTGTCTGTCAAGTGACCAGCCAGGTTTCCTGCCAAATACGGAGCAAATTTTAACCGGATTTCGAGAAAATCGTCAACAAAAAATGCGAGTTAAAGGTTTTATACATATTTTGTATATAATATTAGATTAATATAAGAACATTAATATAGCTGCAAACAACATATTTGCTCACTTTGTCTGTTTAGATCACCAAGCATCGACCATATGCAGCTGTTAGATTTCAGTAGAGCAACTTAAACCCGTTGAATTAAGGATTTATTTTGACTGAACCAGAGTTGGTGATTGCTGGAGCAGAGTAAAGACGTTTCCGGTTATTTTGTAGGGTAAAATGAAAAAGAGTGTGTTCTGACTCCTTTCTATCAGAACCAGCATTCACTGTTTCGGACTTGGTCCACCTTTGATAGGTGATGACCTCTGCAGACCGGGAACACCCCACAAGAGCTGCAGGTTTTAGAGATGCTCTCAGTCGTCTAATAATCACAATGTGGCTCTTTGTCAAAGCCGCTCAGATCCTCACGCTGCCCATTTTTCCTGCTTCTAACATCAACTTAGAGGATAAAATGTTCACTTGCTGCCTGATATATCCCCGACAGGAGCCCTGATTACCAGATAATAAGTGTTATTCACTGTCAGTGCTCATAATGTTACGGCTGAATAGCTAAATAACTGAAAATAATCTTATCCGGAAACAATTGTGCTTGAAGTTTTCAATACTTTCTCACCTTTCTAACCTCCTGGTACTTAACAAATATTGTGCACATATGAATATTTTATCATGATCTCAACATAAGAGGAGATAAAAACAATCTATGAAGGACTATAAATGCTTTTTGCTTCTATAGAGATGAAGTGACTTACTTTGTGAGATGAAAACAAACTGGATCTACCACATGTGGCACTTTTCATTGTTTGTTTGCAAACACTGCGGCACCAATCTCAGCATTCAGCCGCGCAGTCTAGACCCTGACCTTAAGGATGCTATTTCTTGCTTCCATTTAACAACATCCAGATGTAGCCCACTGAATGAGATTCATAGCTGAGGCTCTGAGCTGAGATTGAGTCGTGCCCCGCAGGACTCTGGGAGGAGAAAGGCACCGGGATCTAGTTATCGAAGAGAAACTATCGATGGTCTGATATGAAGTAAACCAGACTGAGAGAGGAGACGCTGCTGCTGCTGTATTTAATCTGCTGGGACTTTATTATGTTACTGAAAACAACAGCTCACACATTTAGGTTTTTTTTACTTTATTTATATTACATATGTTTAATTTTCTTACAATTTATTTAATGTCATTTTTTAGCCATTCTAGTGGAAATGTTTTATTTTACAAGGAGTCTCTTATAATCTGTAATTTACCTGCAACATGAACTATTTCCTGTAACCTCCTGTATGCTTTTCTTTTTTTAAATGAGCTATTTTTGTTTGTTTATGTAACTGTTGCTTATGTTATAGTTATTATTGTGGAAAAATAAGAAAATCCATTCAATTAGCAACAGTAAATCCGGTCTGTCTGTCTTTGGATTTCTACTGTGAGCTTTGGACAACAATACTAAATAGTTTGGAGAGTTTCCAAACCAAAAACACAAGAATAAAAGTGTAAAGAACGGATTAAACTGTTAAGAAAATCAACAGCTGCAGACATTAGCCATATTATTAGCTAACTGTATTATAACGTGTGGTTGGAAGCTACACTGCAAAAATATCAAATATAATAAAATGATTGTTTTAAAAAATGCTTAAAGAGAATTATTGAAGAGGAAACTAATAAACACTCGTTGGTGAAATGATGATAATTGTCTGTTAGTTCATGAAACATCCAGTCGGAGCTTGTTTGTTCTTTTGTTTTTGTGTGTTTGTCTGTAAATTGTGTTAATTGTTACTGTTTTATTTACAGTGTATGTTCATTATGATGTGACGAGTAATGTGAGTGAGTATATTTGTATATTATTGTCACTACGACGTGTTTGTTTGTATCTGTTTGTATAACGCATAATAAATCATTATTATTGAATCTCACCTGCACAGTTTGTTTTATTTCTCTTATTTGTGATTTTGTTGTGTTTTATTGTGAAAATCTGAACCATGTAAACTGCGTGGACCCCAGGAAGACTAGCAGCTGTTATGCAGAAGCTAAAAATGGGGATCTTAATAAACAAACAAACAAACAACAAGAGGTAAATAAAATAACATGATGAATATTTGTGTGAACTGACCCTTTAACAATCTTAACACCCTCCGTTTGCCACTTAATTAATCCATAATAACTCAATTTGCTGTATCTGACTTTGCTGTTGGAAGAATCTCATTATTTATCAGCTTCCATCTAATCTTCCACTGATATTATAATTTCCTTATTGCTTATCTTAAACAGGCCTTTTTATGAACGTTGTCACCTACAGTTTGGCAGCCTAAAGAGAGAACAGTCTGCTAACAGGGAGAGAAACTTTCTGCCCTCATTGAAAAGCCAGACACCCTTGAAACAGGTATCAGTACTGGGGCATGATGGGTAACTGTAAAACGAGGCTAAAACTGTGTAAGGGGTAATAAATGGTCTATAACAGGGTCTCAGACATGGTGCCTGAGGGCCTGCAAGTAGCTCATAACAGAGGTTCCCAATCTTTTTCTTTAAAGGACTTCTGTCATTAAGTGAACTGACGACCTTGAATAAGTGACATATTTTATGTAAATTTCACAGTTCAGTTCACTGTTCAATGAACACAACAACTGCAGGAAGTTTGTGTAAAATGAGCCTTTAAATGACTTTTAAGTATTTTTGTTTTTATTATTTCCTATGAGTATTGCATCAGAGATGGGTTTTTCTTATACTTTCAAAGACTTTTTATACAATCCTGTCTGTATTATGTTGTTTTTTTATGTTTTATATAATCATTCATACTAAATAGGCTTCCTTTATGACAAAGTCAGTGTTTTCTTCTCCCTGATATCCATTGTTTTAATGCAGGTTGTTGAGCTGTAAGTAAAGTGAATGTAGCTTGTGTTTAGGTGCTCAAAGTTTATATTTTAAATAATAATATAAGTTTTTCATTTAGTTTTTCCCCACAGAAATGAAGGGAATACTGAGAATCTACCTTAATCTATCTTAATAAAGTTTTCTTACACCTCTTACAATCAAGAAGGCCTCCTGACCTCCCTGGTGAAGCTTTGGCGACTCCCACAGAGCTCGTTGTATAATCCCAATCTTTAATATTGTGTTTCATAACACTCGACTACACACACAGACTAACCTTTATTACACCTTCCGAGTTGAATCCGTGCTTCCCTTTGTGTCGCGGATGGCGGCCTAAGCCTTTGTCAACTTTCTCTGTGTAGTAATTTTAGATTTTCTATCAGTTAATTGACTTTACGTTGATTAGGCGAGCTGAGTAAATTGACACACCTCACCCGCAATCCCAAATCAAATTGGTTCAACCCTGTATAAACAGTATAAAGATGACTACAGGTGAAAATACACTGTTATTCTACTGAAAGCATCAGTTTAACGTGGATGTTCGAGGCACACAGACCTTTTCTTAACCCCTCGCTTTCTCCTCTGTGTCTCAAATATAAAACTGAAATAGGTACTTTTCAAAGTAGCAAACGGTTATATAACTACATTATTATATTAATACAGAGGACGAGTGATAAGAGTCCTTCTGTTAATGGTTGGTATAAAGTTATATTCTACAAAGTCTGGCAGCATTATTTGATGTTTCTTCTTTTAGAGTCTCTTATAATCTGTGATTTACCTGCAACATGAACTATTTCCTGTAACCTCCTGTATGCTTTCTCTTTTTAAACGGAGCTATTTTATGTGTTTGTTTGTTTATGTAACTGTTGCTTATGTTTTGTGTTATTATTGTGGAAAAATAAGAAAATCCAATAAATATATTGTTTAAAAAAGGAGTATACAGAGTAACCCTGCCGACAGTTGTCTCCCTTTAGGTAACCTCAATCACAGTTTAGTCGGTCTGTCCGTCTTTGGATTTCTACTGTGAGCTTTGGACAACGATACTGAAGAGTTTGGAGAGTTTCAAAATCCCAAAACACAATAATAAAAGTGTAAAGAATGAATTTAAACTGTTCAGAAAATCAACAGCTGCAAACATTAGCATGCCCAGCTACAGTAGCAACCTAGCATTATTTCCAAAGGCAATAATTAGAGTATTAGAAACTAGAGTTTCAACGTTAGCTTTCCCAGAATCACCTTTAACACTTTAAAACTAGGACGAACACAAACATTGCTGCTCCTATATTTCCATCATCAGCTGCTGAAGATACAGCTTTAGCCTCCAACGTTAAATCATGTTCACAGCCATCAAGTTCATATTTACAGGCTTTAGGTTTTATAAAACAGCAGCTGGAAACTCCACAGTGATTGTGGAGGTCAACGGTCGACTGTGAAGATTTCCTTAAACTGAGTTAAATAACAGGATGTGAGATGAAAGCAGAAAATGACCTACCTGCTGCAGAATGACCATGGTTCAGCCTCGGGTTGATAGCAGGACATCAGACGTCACCATGTGTGGGCTCTGCAAAGGAGACAATCAGACGTCATCCAACTGAAGGAACAAACTACTTCTGCAGAATTAAATATATATAAATGTAAATAATAATGTAAAGAAGTCTATGGAGTACAAAGTAGAAAACAGCAAAACATACAAACTCTATACTTAAATGTATTGAGCTTTATTACCAACCGTTACCTTTACAGATGCTATAAGAACTTGTTTCGTCTGACTTGTTATGAACTTACAAAGTTATTTTTTATTTAGTTGTCCTGTCTGCGAGGATGTAAGGGACGTATTTTTTAGTAAAATGTCTATTTATGTTGATTTCTTTTGCTAACTTTGTCTGCAGATAGTGAACAGTGGGGTTTTTATGGCATTGTTTGCTGGAAACAGCTGCTTACTGCTGATCCAAAACAATGAACTAAAAAGGCACTTTATCAATTTCTTATATATACATACTGACTGGACTAGATACGTATGATTCAATACATACAGGGGAGTCAATAATCAACCAAAGCCTGGTTTCTTTGTTGTCCCAATGTTGTAAATGAAGCAGCTGTTTAGTTTTTCAGTTTTAATAAAAAATGCTTAAAATAAGAAGCTTCTGGTGCTTTAATTTAAGACAAAGTCACTTATTTTTATTGTGCTGTTTGAAGAAATTGTGTCCCATTGTAAGATTCTTTTGACCAAAATACTAAACTCTATCTTAAATAACTGAGTTTTCATTGCTTGTAATAACAACTTGCTTAAACTCTTGGCATTTCTTTAGGTTTTTACAGTCTTTAGGAAGGCTAGAAGTTTAGATTTATTTGCTCAATACAAGAAAATGTTTTTGTATATTTTAGAATATTTGGGTTGTTTCTAGAAGGGCTGTTTTGTCAGTGTGACGTGTAGACTTGAATACAGAAGTTATCTCAAGACACTGTTCATATAGAGAAGGTCTAAATCGTACTCCTTATAAAATTATTTACACCCAACAATTCCCACCATGAGCAAGCACTTGGTGACAGTGGCAAGGAAAATCTTCTTCCTAAGCTAGGCTAATTTCCACCCAAAATAAAGCATCTAAATTTAAATTCATACCACGCAGTATCATTAGTTAGAGACCAGCCATGTGGTTGAGCTGGACACAGGAGACCAGAGAGGGAAAGGGGGGGGTTTAGGGGGTTAAAGGGTCTGGTGGAGGCTGTTAAAGGCTTAATTGGATTCCTGGGACTAATCCCATCGCTTAAGTACGAGCTGTAGTCGTTGCAGTTATGACTGCTGAATCATTTTCTCCCCCACTCTTTCCTTTTGTTACCCTCGTTAACAATGACGATGGTACAGTACTGGATACAGTACGGTGGCCTTTTTGTTTCCAGTATTTTGACTCTTTGCACATTTTTCAGCTGTAAACATGGCGAACTTTAGCGTAAAAGTGACATTTTATAGTAAAAGAAAGAGAGAAATAGCAACTGTTTACTGCCTCAGTCCTTATTTGTGTGCAGAAACCCCCACTTTAAATGCTGGAGCTGTGTCCAGTGTGTTGCTGTATTGAAATCAAATTGATATTTGAAGGAATTACTGAAGCAGAACTGAATAATTCAGATGAAATGTGAAGTGGAACTGAGATTACCTTTTTCCCTGCTGATTCCTTTAAGGGAATACAAACAAGTTAGAAACATAAATAGCTTCAAACAAGCCCAGACTGTATGAGTGATGAAGGTAGCCTATGTCACAGGGGGCGGGGGGGGCTAAGTGTATTAATGATCCATTAGAGGTTCGATAAGCAGATTAACATTTAGTTGAATGTGCCTCGCTACAAGAAAACTCGGATTCATCTTGAACAGGAGCAGTAAACCTCGTGGAGGCCTGCAGATATACAGCATGAAGTTCATCCACATGCAGAACGTCACAATATGCTCAGCTAATGCCAAGACAGAGCCTCTTATCCAGAACCACAGGGAGCCAACCTGACATCTGTCCCAAACACAGACCTATAGATCTGTACTTAAACTCCACAACCCACCATGGGAAAGCACATACAGACACGAGCCTAAAGTTCTGGTACCTGTAGAGTTTCCACAATTAATTATTTTAGCTGTCAAAGTCCCGTTCCTAAGAAGCTGTGATAGTGACAGAGTGGAACTGTTAGCAGGAGCAGTGAGTTTCACTTTGTGGTCACTAGAAGCAACAGATTGTGTTACTGAAAGATTGTTTTTGAGACAAACACAATGCTATTTCTTTCACAAAAGGGATGTATTATCATTTCTGTGGTATTAATTTAGAGCTTTCACCACACAGATTACAAACAAATGCCGAGTTCAACGCGTCATTATAACCCAACAGCTCTTTGCTGTGGTTGGGAGGACTCTGTTTCCCGACCTGCGACTATCTGGTTTGAGCAATTTCGCTGAGTTTGGGTCAAACTTGGGAGATCACAAAATCACCCCAGAATCCATCTTGCCAGGCTTCAATCTAGTGTCCTTTGAGGAAGGTACCGGCAGCTACGGGGAGTTGGTGTTACGCAGCGAGAAGACACAACAATGGTGGTTAGAGTAGAGGCTGCGATATAGTTTTAGTTATATCAGAACTGGAGAGTTTTTATTCAGTGAAAGAAGAGCAAAGAACGACACTGAAGAGATTATTTTTTGCTCTTTTCCCGACTGACTTCACTCAGAGTTTGACTACGTTTTGTAGTTCGTTGACCTGATTAGCTGAAGTTTAATCAGCAGCTGAGTGTCTGTTCTTATTCGGTATTCGGGTCAGGTCCTAAAGACGTTGGTATGATCTGGGTTTGGGTCTCAAGGTTTGGGTATAGAGGTTATAGAGACTTCTGCAACCCAACAACACTATGAGGAGAACTGTGAGTTAGTTTTAAGTCTGTCAGGACGTAATATTTTGTGAATAAATAATAATAATTAAGTGTTTGTTCACAACCCTGCTGTTTTCATTTCTTTACAGGTCATTGTAACTGATAATAATAACAAAAATAATTGTGTAATACTGTATACAGTGATATTTTCAGAGACAGTTATCGTACGTCTAATGTCAAAATGCTAACAAGCTGATTTCAAGAAGGCGTAACGTTTACAGTCTTCACTATCGTAGTTTAACGTGTTAGCATGCTAACATTTGCTTATTAGCTCTTAACAGTTATGGCTGATGGAAATTAATTTTGCAGGTTTTTGGTAATAAAATGTAAATTTTGACCTGATGATGGGTACTAGATGAAAAGTTAATATCAGAGTTATTAGGATACATCATCTGGGGGGTTTGTACAAAATTTAATGCTGATCCATCCAATAGTTGTTGCGATATTTCAGTTGGTACAAGACTTAGTGCCAATCCATGTACTACATGTTGAGATATTTTATAGGATAATATTGTTGGTGTTAGAAGTCAGTAGGATTCATCGTCTATCCAACATTTTATCAGATATTTTTAGTCTGGACCAAAACGAGGTTACAGCCCTGATGTAATGTCAGTGGGTCAATGTGTTACGTGCTACAAAGGAATTACTGTTAGTTTCTTGGTTCTATAATCAGCTCATATTTGATGGTTTTATTGTTCATTGTTCATAAATAAGAGTTATTTATTAAGTCGGATCCGTATTAATGTGTTAAAATACCAAAGTCAAAGAATAACGCCAACAAACTAACTCAGTGGTTCCCAACCTTTTTCTTTAAGGAACCCTTTTCTATAATATATTAAACTGACTAAGTGACATATTTTATTGATATATTTCATATTATATCAAAACTGTGAACCCAAACAGTGAACTCAGTAACTGTAGGAAGTTTGTGTAAAACAAACAAAGTGATTTGGATGAATTTTAAGCAGATTATTTCCTGTTTATGGAACTTTTTATACAATTGTCTGTCTGTATTATGTATTTGTATGATGTTAAACAATCATACAAACTTAATCTGCTTCTTTTGTGACAAATTCAGTGTTTTTTTCTCCCTGACGTTTGGCATTAGTTTTTTATTAGACTATTTACTTTTCTTCTAAGAAATGAATCAAATGCTGAGATATAAACCTACTTGTATATATTTTTTTTATAGTTTTCTAGCACGCCTTGAAATCAAGGTTGCGAATCACTGAACTATAGCATTATTTAAAGGCAGCAGTTGACCTGCAACTTCTGTGAAATTAAAATGACTGTTTTTGTCTGTATTGAGTCTGGATGCTTTGGACAGCAATAATGGCTGTTACTGGTTAAACAAAAGGATTATAGGTTCCTTTCCACAATACTGTCAGACACTATAATAATAATAATAACATAATATAATAATCTGAGTCTGTCAGTGGCAAAAAAACAAGATTATTTAGACCCCAAAACAGGTCAAATTA